GTAGTGCCAAAGCTAGAGTGGGAGGTACCTAGATGCCTGAGATGTGCCATATTAAAGAGAAACCCTTTAATATCAGTGCATCCCCATACAATATGCAATAAGTTCCCCATTTGCTGGCACTCCTTCCAACATAGGGGGAAGGAAGCAGGGCTAAATTTAAGTAGCCTAAGGGGGGTCAGGCAATGTCTCATTGATTACCTGCAGCCGATACATCTCTGTATCTTTTAACAGCCTTCATTTCATAGAAATGTTAATTTTCACAAACAGAGATTGTCTGCATTTTGATGATATTTTTTTAAATTATTTTTTCAGTCTTGTTGTCTCTTATTTTTGTAATTGGCTTAAAGAAAGCAGTTTGAAGATTGATTGCTAGGTGGATCTTTTTGGCTTGGTGCAATTACTCTGCGTCGTTGCTTGTCCTTGATGAATTCTGGCTTGTATTCTTATTAAAAACTAAACCCACAACAGTAAAATCAATCTGTATATGCAGTAATGGTGTGCCGAAAATGAAAATTCAAAATGCACTTGGCCGAAAACCGAATCCAAAATGCGCAGTTTTTAAAAATGAATATATATTTTTTGGAAAAAAAGTACACTTTGATAAAAAAAAAAACAATATATACCCAAATTTTTTTGTAAAATGTGAAAGAGGATGTTATGGCGAGTAAATAGATACCCAACATGTCACGCTTTAAAATTGCACACGCTCATGGAATGGCATGAAACTGCGGTAGTTAAAAATCTCCATGGGTGATGCTTTAAAAAGTTCTACAGGTTAGCAGTGTAAAGTTACAGAGGAAGTCTACTGTGATAATTCTTGCTCTTGCTCTGATGTTCGTAGTGATACCTCACGTGTGTATTTTGAACACCATTTACATATGTGGGCATGGCCTATGTATGCATTCACCACTACCTGCAAGCACGGGGGGCGGGGGCACTTTAAACTTTTTCTAAAAAAAAATTATTTAATGGGATTTTTTTTCTTCTTTTTTTTTGCACTGTCCCTTTTAAGGGGCATGCATCCATTGTGATAGAAATAATTAGTGACAGGTCCTCTTTATGGAGAGATATGGGGTCAATAAGACCCCACATCTCTCCTGTAATGTAAAGCATTGGATCAAAAAAAAGCATTGATTTAGTGCTTTAAAAAAAAAAAAAATGGCCGGAACCAGAAGTGATACTCATCTCTATGCCCAGCGCGGGGATCATTTGATGGCTTCTCAGGCAAGGCTGAGAACTACCAAGCGGCAGCCTGTAGTGGCGGAGGTGACGGCAAGGGGCGGGTTTTTTTTTTGGCACCTGTATCTGTGCTTTTTTTTCATATCAGCCCACAGCCAAAACGTTTTGGTGCATCCCTAATATGCAGTAAAGCATGCTTGTTATACTCACTTTGTTATACTCACTGTGGAACCTAAGGGGTAAATCCTCCACATTGTGTAAATAGGCTGTTTTATCTTGTCTTCTCTGGTCCTCCCTTTCTTCCATCCTAATCCATCTGCTGATGGTACAGAGCCCTAGGAGGCGCTCTGCACACTCCATTTGTGGCTAATTCTTTTCAATGAGTCTGTCCATTTGGATATTCACAGTGAGAAGGAGCAGCAAATTCAGCTATTGCCCAGCACTGGAAAGCATAAAATAGAGTCTGCATGTTTAAGCACACGTCTCCTTAAAAAGTATATAAAGCAGAAGCTTCATTTTTAGTTTTGGAAAGTGTGGAAGTGTTTTTATTGCTGTCTAGATTCTAGATGTTTGCTGACCATTGTCAACTGAATAAAAAGTGATGGAAATCCCAAAATTTTATAGGTGTCTCCAGTACAGGAAGTGATGAGAAATCTTTCAGTTAGTGCACCTGCTGTGGTGACAACTGCAAGTTCCCTGTACTTTGAAGCAATTTCCTCTCATATCTTGTGTCCCCATGACATGAAGCAGAAGGAAATGTCCCTGTTGGGACACAGGACAAAAACAAATATTGGCTTTAGATGCATGTTTCAGGTTACGTGTTCATTTTGCAGAAAAGAAACACATAAAACAAATTCTTAAGCATTTTCACCCTGAGCATTTTGTAGCTCAAATCTCCAGGATGCTCAGCAAGCCAAATACTATGCTTTTAAATTGTCCATGTTCACATTTGAGTGTTCAGGTGCTTGAAGCTCATTGTCTAAAGCTCCAAAACACTACATCAGCTACTGTTGAAGCCAAAGGGACATTCTCTGGCCATGGTGCATAAAGAAACACACGAAATACATTATTAAATTGTTATGCAAGTTTTTCTGGCGTTTCCTAAAAAAAAAAAATGTCTGAGACCAAAAATGCTCAGTCCTGCTCTAAAGAAACTGTACAATGCACTTAATTCTAAAAATTGCTTGGTTTAGATATTGATATATTGAAATTTCTGCTGAAAGTACTGTTTTTAGTAGTGCTCCCTGCCACTGCCAGACGCTGCCGCCAAGGCAATTACGTTGGCAATTACTGTTGACTCCTGGATATCTATGTCATCGATCCCAGGAGTCTTCGGGCATCTAATGCAGGTACACAAAACATGCCTCACAATGTCGTTACTGCACAGGTGTGAGAAGATTCAGAGGTACATGCTGGGTAGTTAGCTGCATGAAATCCAGCAAATCAAGCCAGGCCGGCTTCAGCTGTCCAAATCTTGTATGGCTGTAGCTGGAATCGAGGTGGAAAAACGAAGAATAGGCAGTTTTAAGTAATTACAATGTGTACATTATTATTATGATTATACAGTATTTATAGTAGTGTACATGGGCAACATCCATTATGCTTATGAGGAATTACACGATCTCTGCAGCAGCCTCTATCAGGGCCGGATCTAGCTTGTGGGATCTGGGGGTGCAGTAAAAACAAGTCGGGACATGCTGTCAACACACCTTCATTTTATCCTCTCTGCCTAGCTCTTGTATTTCTGTTTTTCCGGCTCTTTATGCTGGCACTGGCTGTGTGTGTCACTTGACAGTTTGTCCTGCAGTGTGACATGACTTGGAAGTAAAGCCTGATATTACTTCTGAGAAGTGCAGAGGTAGTGCAGGAGTGAACATGAAACAAAAGTTCCCTGCATCTCTGTTGCTGCAGAAAAGTGCATGTATGAGGCCAATGTTTCTTAACCTTTTCAGGCCCTTTAAAAGTATCCAAAATCATCAGGTACCTCAGTCCCAAACTCTATTTACTGGGATGAAGGAAACAGACATTTGCACTGAATGATGTGACCCTTTCCTTGGCAATGCATGGAGGAGCCCGCTATAACATCAGAGTGCCCCCAGAACATCCGAGTCATTCCTGAGTGGGGGGAGCAGGTCTGGATGGAAGCCTTTTCTAAATTTACACCTTAGATTACCATCATCTGTTTCCATAGTGCAGGCGGGCTGGCTGCCAGAACCATAGCAATGCATGTCACCTTGCTTCCTTGACCACCCTCCTGCAGCAAGAAAATGAATGATGCAGTGCAACATGCAGAAATGCCAACTTGACCAATGTTTTTCTTCCTGGCAGTGCCACCATTATCCCCATTAGATTTCCCCTCTATTACTGTTCTGGGGATAGCTCAAAATTTGGGATTTTTCTTTTACTTTTCTTTTGATGATAATGGTAAACAGGACAAAGAGAGAAGGTGAATCTTCCTAACAAGGGCAGAGGTAGTAATAAAATCCTGACAGGGGTTCTAATCCCTTTTTCATTTTATCCAAAAAAAAACAAAACATGTTTGCCTTTTAGTTCTCTACTCTGCCAAAAGGGGAAAAATTACACAAGGAAGATAAATAGAATTGAGTCTAATGCAGAGTACCCTCTAGTAGTTATACTGCAAATCTCTCTTTAACACAATAACAAAGGGACACACATGTATAAGGTACACATTGCAAAAAGAAAAAAAAACCTCAAGGTATGTACTCACTATACGTCACCTTTAAAGGGTAACTCCACTTTCGTGGGAAAAAAAATATAGCGTGTACAATTGCGACACAAGTAATATTGTAATTGAATGTTATTAAAAATTACCTTTCCTTTTCAATCTGCAGTGCTGTTATTTTCTGTAAAATGCAACATAGCAATAAAATCAGTGGGCCAGTAACACAAGCAGGAAATTACATTTTTGGGAGGTGATCTGTACACAATCTGTGTACAGAACGCCTCTCAAAAATGTCATTTCCTGCTTGTGTTACTGGCCCACTGATTTTCCCGAAGTATGCATTAAGATACAAGTCAGATTTTTGGCATCCCTTGCAACAAAATGGCATTTTTGGTGAGATGCTCCCAATGGGATGTCATATTTTGAAAGAAAGCAAATCCTGCCATTTTCCTCATTGGAGCCCTGCATGTGCGGAAGCTGATAATTGTGAAGTTACATCCTTACAGATTCACTCTGCACATGGAAACAAACCGCTACTTTTTCAGAATAACAAAAGATAGGAATCTGCAACAAAGTTTGTTAAATTCCTAGCAATGTACATTGATCACACAGAGGGTAATTTTTTTTCTCAACAAAGGTGAAGTTATTCTTTAAAGTTCTTTAAAAGCTGACTGTAAAATGGGAACGATCAAGATAAAAAAAAACTCTTTATTTTTACTGTACCCGTTTCAATGAATTGTACAATTCCTCCTTCCCTTTTCTTGCTTAGCCGTGTACTAGTGTTTTGTTATGGGTTTTTTTTTATAGCGAACAGGGGCGGACTGACAACTCATGGGGCCCCCAGGCAATAGGGGATCATGGGGCCCCTTTGTCCTCTCCAACACCCAAAAAAGCCTATGAAAAAGCCAATGAAAGGTATCAGGGGCATCTCATGGGACCCCCTACTGACCACGGGCCCTCGGGCAGTGACCGAGTGCTCGAATGGTCAGTCCGCCCGATAGTGAATAGTGATTGTGGTTACTATCCCAGGCAATTGTTTTTCACTCCTACCTGCAGGATTACTTTTACTATGTGCAAGACACATTCCTCCTTTTGCAGGTTTGCGTTCATAAGTAACCATTGTTTCTCTCTTTTTTAGATATTTGAATGGTGGTATTTTCGAAAGTATGGAACATCATTCATTGAACAAGTCTCTGTAAGTCACTTGCGCCCTCTGTTGGGAGGTGTTGACAACAGCACACCAAGTAACTCGAATACAAGTAATGGAGATGCTGACTCAAGTCGACAAAGTGTCTCAGGTATGAGCAAATTATGCTGGAAACCGCTAAAGAGATTATCCTGTGTCCAGTGTGAAAAGAGTTAAAGTAACTGAAGTTTGTTTTTGTTTTTCGGCTTTGGAACGAGGGATTGGAATCCATAAAATGTCAGGTTTATATTGCTGTTTGTTAGGGAGATTTACCCTCTCTATTTGTTTTCAGAAGTAAAAGTAAAAGATAATTCCCAAATTTTGGGTTGCCCACAGAAAAGTAATAGAGGGGAAACCTTCCAATGGAGACACTCATTCTGGTGACCTGGGGGTCCCCCAATGGATTCCCTTAATTTGAAGGGATTTCCTCTCACTTCCTGCTTTGGCTATGGGACAGTAAGTGAAGGGACATCTTCCCAATGGGACACAGATGGCAAAAATTAACCAACGGGTTATAACCTTCCCTCACTCTGTCCAACTAGGGATGGTGTTGAATATCTTCGATGAGTGAATGCAGAAGACATCAGTTTGAACTGCTTATCAGATCATTCAGAATGTTACTGCATTTGACCCATATTTGACCTGCTTCATTTGATTTTACATGTCTATAGGTTTGTTTAGGGCAGTGTTTCTCAACTCCAGTCCTCATGGACCCCCAACAGGTCATGTTTTCAGGGTTCCTTTATTTTGCACAGGTGATTTTTGATCAGTTTCACTGCCTTAGTAATTACCACAGCTGTTTCATCTGAGGGAAATCCTGAAAACATGACCTGTTGGGGGTCCATGAGGACTGGAGTTGAGAAACACTGGTTTAGGGAAAGAAGCAGTTCTGAAGTGAACAAAAGCACATCAATGCTGGCCCTTGTGGCTTGTTCACACTTGACTAAACTTCTAACTCTTACCAAATGCTCCTATAGCTTTAGTATAGGCATTAGACAAGCGATAATGAGTTTTAGTATGGGCATTAGACAGGCGTTACTGAGCTTTATACATAAATAAAATGTGGCGCTTAATGAATAAAATAATAAAATAAATATTCAGATGATCTGAAAAGCACAGTAAGGTATGGGACACAAACTATGATAAATAACGCAGAAAAAAAAGGTGACTAATACATCAAGTGAAAAAACATAACAATGTCCAGACAAAATGTCGCAGGATCCTGTGTGTAAAAAGCTGGATATATCAGGATCAAATGGTAGAATTGCGCACTCACCGGACGCGCTAAGGATATGCGCATATGACAAACAGACCACCGGAAATCCCTCATCTAGTGGGGAGAGTAGATATCCATCTGGGCACAGATAATCCTGATGCTCCCTCTAATTGGTGTGTGGTAAGCAGTTTCCAGATCCAGGAGTCCACTCAGGGCTGATTAAACCTTTCCTTATAGGTATGGAACTCCCTCCGGTGGCAATAGTAGGCAATAGGGTATCCTGGAATTAGCTCCAAAAGGAGCAAAAAAGTGCCTCATAGTGTAGTATTGTTTTAAAAAACGAAAAATTATATTGTGTATATACAGCATAAAAACAGGGTGGAAACACTCAGGATAAAAGAGTGACTGACCCAAAAGTAAGATGGCCGCCGGGCCTCCTCGTGGCTCCGGGCGGCTAAGACGTCACGCTCTGTTGGCTCCTCCTGGAGGAGCCAACAGAGCCAACAGAGCGTGACGTCTTAGCCGCCCGGAGCCACGAGGAGGCCCGGCGGCATCTTACTTTTGGGTCAGTCACTCTTTTATTCCCTGAGTGTTTCCACCCTGTTTTTATGCTGTATATACACAATAAATTTTTCGTTTTTAAAACAATACTACACTATGAGGCACTTTTTTGGCTCCTTTTGGAGCTAATTCCAGGATACCCTATTGCCTACTATTGCCACCGGAGGGAGTTCCATACCTATAAGGAAAGGTTTAATCAGCCCTGAGTGGACTCCTGGATCTGGAAACTGCTTACCACACACCAATTAGAGGGAGCATCAGGATTATCTGTGCCCAGATGGATATCTACTCTCCCCACTAGATGAGGGATTTCCGGTGGTCTGTTTGTCATATGCGCATATCCTTAGCGCGTCCGGTGAGTGCGCAATTCTACCATTTGATCCTGATATATCCAGCTTTTTACACACAGGATCCTGCGACATTTTGTCTGGACATTGTTATGTTTTTTCACTTGATGTATTAGTCACCTTTTTTTCTGCGTTATTTATCATAGTTTGTGTCCCATACCTTACTGTGCTTTTCAGATCATCTGAATATTTATTTTATTATTTTATTCATTAAGCGCCACATTTTATTTATGTATATTTTCTGAAGGTTTGCTGAGATTACCTTATGTGCTTTGGCTGCTGATTGGAGAGAGCGCTCACTTTTTTTCTTTTTTTTCCGTTACTGAGCTTTAGACTTGCTTTTTTTTTACAAACGTTAAAAATGCTCCCCAAATTCCCTATGTGCAGTTTTGAAGCATTTTCTAAGCAGTTGACAAGCGTTAAAACTACATCACAGACTAAATAAACTGTAATATTATTAACGCTCTGCAACCGCACCACAAATGCCTTGCAAATTCCTGCCAGTGCATTTGAGGAGCGTCACCATAGACTTGAATGGGAGGCATTGAAAGGCTTCAAACTCCTCCTGACACGACATGAGGCTTTAATTTTGAAGCAATGCAACGCTGACGTTTCAAGTTTTGATAATGTGAACAGCACTGTGCTACCCATAGTATAATTTACATAGGCATTTGAGGAGCATTAAAAATGCCCCTCAGATGCTTGCTTTCAAAGCCAGTGTGAAATAGGCCTTAGGATAGCTGTTCTGAAAAAGAAGAGCATAGAGATGAGTGTAATCAACACTTTTCACTTGCCTATTGGCATTCTTTTCAGATATAATTCCTGGAGCTGTTCCTTTAGTGTAAATCTTTCTGAAATATATATTGATGGGAAATATATTTAAGTGTGGGTTTTGTTATGTTGTATAATTTTAACCTTTGTTATTTTCAAATACAGAATGTAAAGTATGGCGAAACCCGTTAAATCTCTTTCGAGGAGCAGAATATAATCGGTAAGGTCTAAACTGTGCCACCATATCTGTCTATTATTTGACTATGATTGACCTTGAAAATTCCTGTGTTCATTTAGTTGGTTAAAATGAGAAATGATCAGTTAAACTCTGAGGTTGTCTCTTTCAAAAGGAGGAGGAAGGAATAGATCTCATTACTATTCTAAGTCTAGGGAATAAATAATACAAAAAGGCTTTTCCCTATTTCCAGTGCAGAAATCTACATTTCCAAGATCATACAAGAGTCTTTGTAGCCTGAGATGTCTAAGCAATTGTCATTTTGATGGCTTCAGCAACAATCCTTCAAAACATAACACCGGTGCTTTACAAAGTATTTAAATATTCAATTTTGTTCAGTTTTATAGGTTTGCAATATAATCTTTATAGCATTGTTCCTTGTCAAATTCTTGCACTTTCATTTTTTTCAATATGTATAATAAATATTTTACATTTTAAAGTGGATCTACACTGTATCTGAACACCACAAAATATAAAAATACAATTTTATTTTTATTTTTTTTAAACAAACTCGCCTATCCATCCAGGTCCTCCATGCTTTATTCAGCTGAGAAATCACTTTGAAAAACACTCCCTAGCATTTCTGGCCATTTTGAGTAAGGGCATATGATTCATGTAGCATTTACTTCCTGGAATCCATCCTTAGTTCAGGCATGCAGGCAGAAGGGTGTGCTTAGCTGAGATAGCCCCTCCTGAAGACTCCTGGGATGTATGAAATCATTTGCCTAGGCATAGGGAACAGGAAGTAACTGAATAAATGGATACAGAAAGTTTTAAAACAAGTAAATATAATATTTATTTTTTATTTTATTTATTTCAGGTACTTGTATAGCGCCATCAATTTACGCAGCTCTTTACATATATATTGTACATCCACATCAGTCCCTAACCCTCAAGGGGCGTACAATCTAAGGTCCCTAACTGTCATTCATACATACACATATTAGGGCTGATTTAGACAGGATTCAGTTAACATACCAGCATGTCTTTGGAGTTTGGGAGGAAACCAGAGTACCCAGAGGAAACCCACGCAGACACAGGGAGAACATGCATACTCCAGGCAGGTGGTGCCGTGGTTGGGATTCGAACCAACGACCCTAGTACTGCCAGGCGGAAGTATACCTTTCTATCTATTTACTAATGTTAGCAGCATACAAATAAAAAATAGTCAAAGTTAAGAGAGTGAAGTTCCACTTTAACTATTATGTTTTAGTTTACAAACTACAACATTTTGAATGGTAACTTTATTATCACATTATTATGTGGATAGATCATTTTACCTGTCACAAATTTTACAAAGGGCTCACAAGGTGGTCTGGGTCTTGTTCACCACTGCATACTTTTTTTCTACATAACCATATCTGCTTACATTTGGTTACATTTATTTTAAATGTGGCTAGTTGTTTAGTTGATTAGTTAATAATCTTTATTAAGGAAAATAAAGACCAACACAGCAGGACATCTAAAGCCTGTCATTATAAAGCATTGGCCCTTGATATAATATTCATCATCATCATGCTCATCAACATCCTTCCCATATGATTATATGTCAAATTAACTTGTTTTATGCATTTAATCTCCCTGTAATTATTGATAATCCTATAATATTGGAAAGGCCTAAAATGTCTGCTTGCACAGTCATCTTGGATGTGACATCAGCAGTCCTAGAGCTGTCACTCAAACAAAGCTTTGCAATATCCCACTATAATTTATTTATGTTTCTCATTTATCTAATAACAGAGCATAGAGGCTGATAGTAGAAACTTGCACACAGCAGAGCACTGAATAATGGCAGCAGTGATACCTCTCTCATTCTGTACATATTACATTCAACCCTAGTTTGTTTACACTTTAGTGCACTAATGACAGCTGCAACTGGCACTTCTGTTAATTGCTTTATGGGTGTACAGATAATAAATCTCCGATTTTGCCTGAAACTGTACATTTTTTTTATCGAGTAACTGTACAGGCTCCTGTGCAGGGGTGAACTGACCATTTGGAAATTCGGGCACTGCCCGAGGGCCCAGGGTCAGTAGTGGGCCCCAAGAGATGCCCCTGGTACCTTTTTCATAGGCTTTTTTGAGTTTGGGAAAGGACACGGGCCCCATGATCCCCTATTGCCCGGGGGCTTCATGAGCTGTTAGTCCGCCCCTGCTCCTGTGTACACCTAAAATGCTGTATGCAAGTCTTTTTTTTTTTTTTTTTTTTTTGCCAATGCACTTCAACAGTATTTTTCTCTTGTCCATGCATTTTACCTGTGCTGGAAAACACAGCAAAATGTATATCAACATATCTGTTGTGAACAAGCTGCATCTTGATGTCTTGACAGAAAAAAATAAATGGATGATTGTAGTGAAGAAATGGTTAGGATAGCATGGAAAATGTATCAACTGCGCGTGCACAGCTTTCACAGCATAAATATAAGAAACATGGTAAAATATTGTTGGAAGATTAATTTCATTGTTGCCTGCTTATATAACCATGTAGCAAGATTGGGGCCTCATATTTTTCCCAGCCACAGCCTTTGCTTGCCGATATAGACAATGACATAGGTTCTTCCAGCTTACCAGTAGTGACTGAGCTTTAAATACTGCACATTTGTTTCAGAACCATTGTTTCAACTAAATATGACTAGGAGTATTACTATACACGAATGTGTAAAAATATTTTTTCTGTTGATTTGTCATTGCATTACAGATACACATGGGTGACAGGAAGAGAACCGTTAACATATTATGATATGAATCTTTCAGCACAAGATCATCAAACGTTCTTCACATGTGACACAGATCACATGAGGCCAGCAGATGCAAGTAAGATGCTTGTACATGTATAAGAAATTTCCATACCATTGTGTTCTGGATAATAGGATTCTGTGCAAATGGTTTTCTAACTTTGTGATGAGTAAATCAGTTTTCCACTTACTAATAAAGGTTTCCCAATTAATTTCTCCCCTTACATCCAGGTGTGCCCAACAGCAGAGTCCTCCACTTACATCCAGGTGTGCCCACCAGCAGGGTCCTCCACTTACATCCAGGTGTGCCCACCAGCAGGGTCCTCCCCTTACATCCAGGTGTCCCCACCAGCAGGGTCCTCCCCTTACATCCAGGTGTGCCCACCAGCAGGGTCCTCCCCTTACATCCAGGTGTGCCCACCAGCAGGGTCCTCCCCTTACATCCAGGTGTGCCCACCAGCAGGGTCCTCCCCTTACATCCAGGTGTGCCGAACAGCAGAGTCCTCCCCTTACATCCATGTGTGCCAAACAGCAGAGTCCTCCCCTTACATCCATGTGTGCCAAACAGCAGAGTCCTCCCCTTACATCCATGTGTGCCGAACAGCAGAGTCCTCCCCTTACATCCACGTGTGCCGAACAGCAGGGTCCTCCCCTTACATCCATGTGTGCCGAACAGCAGAGTCCTCCCCTTACATCCAGGTGTGCACACCAGCAGGGTCCTCCCGTGTTGCCGACATCTAGGTGTGCCGAACAGCAGAGTCCTCCCCTTACATCTAGGTGTGCACACCAGCAGGGTCCTCCCGTTACATCTAGGTGTGCCGAACAGCAGAGTCCTCCCCTTACATCTAGGTGTGCACACCAGCAGGGTCCCCCCGTTACATCTAGGTGTGCCGAACAGCAGAGTCCTCCCCTTACACCTAGGTGTGCCCAACAACATAGTCCTCCCCTTACATCTAGATGTGCTCAATACCTATTGCATTCACCCATATTGCCTCATAAAACAAACAAAATATAAACAATAGTAAAAACAACTCCTCCTTCTTCTTCTTGGCCCACTGCCCAAACTTTCTGTGAGTTTGTACTGTAACAAAAAACTGATCTGAAATTTTTGTTTTCCTCAAACCAGAGTATAGGTATAAAACATGCAGTAGAGTATTCAGAGTAATCTGCTAGCAGATAGCTTGTTCACCTTGCACTGGGTAAGCTTCCAGCAATACAGTGAGATCACAGAGCATGTTCAATATTTGTCATGCAGGGGAGTCAACCGTCAGAAATTCAGTAACTGTGAGTGGATACCTTGGACAATCCAGTAAGAAGTTCAAGAGGACCTCTCTACAGCAACACACCTTTCTTTCTGGCTACAATGTCATGTGGATTTAGGCTTCTATTATTAGACAATAACATTGTGTCATTTGCATAGAATTGCAAAAAGGTGTAAGAAAGGAGATACAAACCAGACAGCAGTGTTGTTGCATATGGTGTTTTTATAGGAGGAGAATTAAGGGATGGGCCGTGATGCTATATTGGTATGCAGTGAGTGAAGATAACTCAGGATGTTGAGTGGAGAGACAAGGCTGAGTGGTCTCTGCTTAGCACTACAGCACTCTAGCATATATATAAAAGTGCTGAGGGAGATCCCATGGCAGAGTCTCACCACAATTCTCATGTAGCAGCAAGCAAATGGGAGTGAGTGTGATCAGGAGTGTTTCTAGCTCTATAACACCCTCTGGAGTCCAGCCAGTAAAATGCTTTTTGGAACAACAAACCCTCACCTTGTAAAACAAATCATACAATGTAAAATAGAAATGAAAGCCAAAACATTTGTGTGTAAATATAAAAAAAATATAAATCCTTTCTCCCCACACATAATTTCTGTTATCAGATGCATGCGGAGCTTAGTGAGCTGGAGGAGGAGAAAGAGCAAAACACTGCTCTTCCAGTGAGTGTGTGTGGGGGGTGTCAACAAAAGTCTGATCATTGGAAGAGAGCAGGGTGAGTCCTCAGAGCTCTCGGCTCTTCTGCATAGCATGGTCCGTTTTTAACAGGAAAGCAGAGGGACTGGCAAAAAAAGAAGGCAATACTAAGCGAACAGGATATTTTTAATACAAGTACATGGTAAAGCAGGCACATATCAGGAATATGAAATGTTGGGTTGATATGCTCTTTAAGCCACTGCGCACAGCTTGGCTGATAAAACATGCTGTATATGATGTTCTTTGGGTCCTTTCTTTATGTTGGAAAATACAGCTTGTTGTTTCTGAGGCCGAAAAATAAGGATAAATTGCAGTGGTGATACCATAATATTTCAAATCTTTCTGGGTTCTAGCTTTCATCAAAATAGTGGTTTTATCTTGGAAATGCAGGATCCATGCTATCATAGCTCTGTGAGGTGCACATGGAGGTGGAGCTCCTATATGAAGTCTGTGAGCCCTCACTATAGCTGAAAGTGTAGAAAAGCATTTTTACCCCATAGGATCCTTTAACTGTGTCTCAAGATAGGACCCAGAATTTCTACCTTGTACAACCAGTAGTTCTATGTTTATACACTTGAGCCAGTCTTCAAAATCGGACCATTTACTTGAGCAAATGGTTAAATCTTGCTTGGTTGTTCAGCGCTCAGCAGTGAGAAGGTTAACCGTGTCCTCTAAATCACTGACTGAAGGGCTTGGAACAATAAGAGGGCAGCTCCAGTTTTACTAGATTTTTGCAAACTAAAAAAAATAGTTTAAACTTTTTTTTTTTGTTATTCAACCTGGGCTCTATGCGTTTTAGTACTTGCTGGCTTTATATTATGTAGTGCTTTTATTGTAAAAAAAAAAATAAAGCAGGGTGAATTTTTTAAATTTGTAGCGGTCTCATTCTTCTGTCCAGCATTCTAGACAGGCAGTTTCATCTGTTGAGGAACATGGGAACAAATGCTCAGAGCTGCCTCCTTTTTTTTTTTTTTATCCATTAAAAGAGCAGATTTTTCTGACAAGATATGATGTAGAACTGAAAAAGTGAAAAACTGAGCCGCCTTCTTTTTGCTGTTGCGTGTCATGGACTCGCTGTCTAATGGTATGCATGTCCTGTATAAGCAGTAATCTGTTGTCACAGTCTCTATTTGTTGAGCGAGGGAAAACTGACAGGCTTATATAGCATCCATTATTTGGAAGTCCATTATAAGTGTGGGTTCTGTTGTCAGCTCAGGCTCAGATTGTGCATTCTGTTTACCCTTGGCTGTAGCTCATTCCTTCTGAAGGAGAAGCACAGATGGAGTTGGCACCATCTTTCTGCTCCCTTTGCGAATGTGGTCACTCATCTGAGCCGCATGTGGTGTTGTGCCCTATTTTCACCATACCAGCGTCAGCAGGGTGATGGGGGGAAGCTTGCTAAAGACAGCAGTAGATGTCTGCTTTTATACTGGAAGTTGGACACACCCTTATCCTTATTTCTGTTTGTTTTATATCAAATAAACAGCATTCTTCTCTCCATACATGAGGTTACGCATGTCTGTCTGTACTGTATACGCAGTACTAACATAGCTTTGTTACCAGTGGGGATGTAAAGAATATCAGGTAAAAAAGAAACACACATTGGATTGATATGTTTATATGGAGGTTATATGCTTGTTAGAATGTGGGCAGTGAGGTTATCTTCACCAATGGAGACTTTTAAAAACAGAAGTCCCAACCTTTCTCTATTCTTCTGAAAATTGTTTTTATTGTGGTCTGTGGCCCTGTTAAAGATTCTGCTCACTCTGTTTGGATGACCATACATAAATGAATCGAAGTCTCCTCAACAGTGGCACAGATGGCAATTTAAAAAAAAAAACCTGGCAGAGGTTGTAACCCTATGCAGTCCATCGTTTGAAAGAACATTTTTGGCTGGGGTTTCACTTGAAAAATACCTTCTTCTACCTGTGAATTTTGTACAATAGCATTTTAGGTATTTGGACGTAAGTAATACATGTGTATAACGTTTTTCCTTAAAATTCTTCAGTTGTATGTTAATCTACACATTCTAAACAGATTTAAAATGTTTTTTTCTGCCAATAGGAATATATTGAAATATAATAGTAATAAGCGTCAGACGTGCTGGTAGGTGAATTGGCTCCTGTCTAAATTGCCCCTAGTATGTGTATGTATGAATGACAGTTAGGGACCTTAGATTGTACAGCCTTTGAGGGTTAGGGACTGATGTGAATGTACAATATATATGTAAAGTGCTGTGTAAATTGAAGGCGCTATATAAGTACCTGTAATAAATAAAAAATAAATAAGCATTTTGCTAGTTAGGATTTTCTATTTTACTGCTGTGCTATAACAACCAAGAGTAGTAGTATGTGATAATGTATAGTCATAAAGTAATGATTTTAATAGCAGTATTTAGGTGTTAATGATTGGTAATTACATTTTAAGCATTTACGCTTTTGTTATGTTATACTTTTTCCTGTCTTTGTCTTTAAATAGTAATGCAGAAGGCATGGCGTGAAAGAAACCCACAAGCCAGAATTTCTGCTGCACACGAAGCATTAGAATTAAATGAGTGAGTAGCCATGTTCAACTGAGTAGTCACATCTATCTATAATCAGTGTTTGGTTGCTTCTTTATGGGAAAAGACACAGTTTAGAGCATGACCAAAGGCTGAAGTAAAATGTAACTAGCCAGTCAAAATATTTTTTTTTTCATTTCACTAATTAACCTTTTACTAAATGTTCTGATTGGTTGGTGTGACATATGGCATGTTGCTCTTTTTCTTACTAGAATAACTTTTTGCACTGTGCAAAATTCACTCAGTGAGTGGCCCCACTGGCACCACTCCGTTCGACAAAAGTAGATTGTTCCATCAACTTTTGTTGAAGGAGCCTGCTGGAAATTGTTCAGAAAGGCTACATGCAATCAGAGCCGCTGTATGATGCAATGGGGTTCATCTGCGCTGTAAAGCATGGATGGAGGAATCTGTGCTGGCTGAATTCTAGTAACTCAGTTACTTGTGGGATTGTGTAATTGTATCCCTATCTCTGGTTTGCCAAGCTTGTGCAGTGAGGCCTCATATAGCCTAGAGAGTACAGTCCCGTCAACTCTGAGTGCTGACTGCACAGGTGCCTTCAGCGCTGTAAAGGATATACACAGCGGAGCAGGGTGTGGCTGTGCTTCTGAGAGAAGGAAAGCTGGGTATACAAATTTGGTCAGTTCAGCAGGAACCGGACAAATTTTGGGTACATATGCAGAGATAGAAATTTTTTTTTAAAAACTACTTGTCCAGGGACTAAATTGGGGCCCCAATCTACTTGTCACTCATGACAATCTACTTGTCCAGATTAAAAAATGTTGTTGAACCAAAATCGTATTTAAATCGGAGGTGATTTTAGGTATGTCTGGGGCTTTTAAAAACAAAAGAGTCTTTATGGTGACTTAAAAGTGTAATTTTTTTAACATTGCACTGTTTATCTCCTCCTCCCCTCCCTGCATGTCTCTAGCACCGCACCCAGGGACTAGCAGGGAGGGGAGAGACCTTGCAGTGTGATGAACAACGATTGGCTGCTCATCAGGAAAGAGTGGGGCAGGGCTTATACTTTATCCCTTTCACTGCCAGAGCCATTTTTGCGTTTTTTTGCATACGTTTAAAAAATAATTTTAGGCCTGAAGATTACATAAAACCCCCTAACATGATATATTTTCTGAAAGCAGAGACCCTAGAGAATAAAACAGTGGTAGTTCTTTTTTTTTTTTTTTATGTTGCATAATTTTTCCGCAAAATTTTAGTAAGCAATATACGCAAGTTAATTTTAGGGAACAATAAAGCAATAAATAAATAAAATAATTTTTTTGTAAAATATAAAAGGTGAGGTTGCAGTGAGTAAATAGATATCCAACTTGTAAAACCTTAAATTTGCGTGCACTCATGAAATGGTGACGAACTTCAGTACCCTATATTTTCTATAGGTTGACACTTTTTTAAAGCTCCTTATAGGTCATCAGTTTAGTATTACGGAGAAGTCTGGTGCTAGAATTATTGCTCTCATTTTAGCGTGCGCGGTGATATGTGACATCAGTCTCAATTGACGTCTCATGCATAGGCGCCCCAGCTTGTATTTTTACATTTGTACGTGCCTATATGTGGGGGTGGTGGCATGAATATTTTTTTTTTTCAGGGGGGTGTTATGTGCTTGGGTGTAACTTTCATTTTGTACAATTAAACATGAAAAAAAAAATTTTTTCCCCTTTTTTTCTTTTTTTATCACATAGGGGACAAAGTCCCCTATGTGATTATTTTTGGTGACAGGTTCTCTTTCAGACATCCAAAGTCTAAAAGACCCTGCATGTCTCCCCTCTGCTCCACAGAATCTAATGTTGTGCACATCTGCACCATATTACATTCATTCCCAGGGATTGTATTACAATCTCTCAATGGGGACCCGGAAGTGACATCGTAACATCACTTCCGGTCAGCACAAGAAGGGGAGGGGAGTGGACTTGTACGCTCTTCTCCCTCCCTCTCTAGCCGACGGTGAGCCGGGCCTGCAGATGGGCAAGCGGAGCCCTGGAAACCTCCCGCCCAGGTCGCGGAGAGGCTGGCACTGTGTAAGCAATCAGTGGCAGCGCTGCCGCCGATTGTTTCACCTGACGGGTGAGCCCGCTGCTTGCCCGCAGTAGGGCTAAAGGAAGAGAAAAACAACCTGCCTGGAACTACTTGTCCCGGGCGTCGGGCGATAGGAATCAAACATCCCTGATATGTAACCCTGTCTGTTGAACAGAAGCTTGTCCGTTAGACAGTCCTGCTGGAAAAGCAGCGTCCGATCAGCTGCTGCAGCCATTGACTGCATTGTTGATTAGTGTATCCTGACGGGGGAAAATTGAACACAAGCTTGCAATGTGATTGCGTGTAAACCTGCACTTTTGTAAATGTTGAACAATTATGATATTAATAGGGCAAACTACAAGTTGTATTTAAAAGAATTTGTTTTGGTTACTGTTTTTCCATATGGGGTGCCTTCAAAGCCTGTATCCTTTCCTTTCCTCAATTTTATTGTAAATGTTGGTGCAAGCTGTTTCTAGAGAGAACCTGTTTTTTTTGTTTTTTTTTATTGCACTGCTAAAGTATTTTAATGCAGCAGAAAAGGCCACATTTTCGCCTCCCCTAAAAGAAGGCAGCTTTACCAAACAAGTTTCTGATGAATATAATGAGCACCCTCTAATGCAACTGTAATAATTTGTAATGGTTGTGCAGGATACATAATATGTGCAAAGGTCTGAGAACAGTTTTTTTTTTTTTTCAAAAAACAAGTAAATGACACAAGACAGGCCCTTCCCACTCATCAAACAGTGAGAAAGAAAAAAGGGGGAAGGCAGAGACCGTGAACAAAGCTATAAATGAGTTTATAGATTCCTTGTTTACACCAGAAAGTCCATGTAAATGAGTCCATAAAGTCTGTATCCTGCACCACAAAACACCAGCAGCTGCTCCTCTATAAGAGTGAAGTGACCTTTGAGAAAATAAAATTGAACAGAATAGGGGGTCAGATTAAGTACAGTAGTATGAGCACAGTTTTTCTTAAAACAATTAGCAACTTACTTTTAGCTGTGAAAACAAAGTATGTCTCCATGATTTAAATCACTGATTTCCATGGGTCTGCAAGGTGGGTGGTCAGGATGCTCCTGTAGCCACCTGCAGGAGCAGATGCCACTGTAGGATGAGGCAGGTGATGCCGAGAACCATGCTGGAACACAGGGGCCACTGGATTGGAAGTGACATCACCATGGGAGGAACAGAAGCAGAGGGGTGTGCTTAAATGTTTCAAAGCCCTGTGGCTTCTTCCTCAAACCTGATGATCTGCTGCTTGGGTTTTAGCATTATCTGGCTCATCCTACAGTGGCATCTGGCCACAGCAGCATTCTGACCATCCACCTTACAAACCCATGGAGAGCAGTGATTTAACTTTGCAAGTAAGTTGCAAATTGTCTTTTACTAAAAACTGTGCTTGTGCTAAAGTACTGGCATCCTCTGCAGTTCCATCTGTGAACAGTTACTTTGGCTGCCTTATGTGGATATCAGTATATTTGCATTACACATTCTTTACACACACACACACGCACGCATATATATATATATATATATATATATATATATATATATATATATATATAAAGAAAATTTGATTTCTATCTCAAAAATTGTCATATTCACTATCCTGAAGTTGTGTTTTTGGTTTTTTTTTTTGTTATCTGCAGATGCGCTACTGCATTTATTCTTCTTGCTGAAGAAGAGGCGACTACTATTGTGGAGGCAGAGAAGCTGTTTAAGCAAGCACTTAAAGCTGGAGAAGGCTGCTATCGGAGAAGTCAACAGTTACAGCACCATGGTGCTCAATATGAAGCTCAGCACAGTAAGAGCCATCTCTTCTATACAGCTTACCTCTGAAGTGGGATTTACAGTCCCATCCAAGTTACAATTCAAATACCAATTCAGAGGTTAAAGTGAAAATCCAGCATGTTAAGTTTTTTTTTTTTTTTTCTTTAAGAAAAGGTACTATGTATATTGCAAAGATTATATTCAACTCTGTTGTAGACCTCTACCATCTCCTATCTTGTAGAGATAATGAGAAGGACGTGTTGATCAATGTAGTCAACCTTTAATATAGGTTTTTCTCACTTCTGCCCCATAGGACTAGCATGTACAGGTGGAAAAGATGCACGCTAGCACAGAAGAGAGTTCTCTTTCTTGAAGTGAGTTTCAGTTGCCTGAGAGACTGGTGGAAAACTGTACAGTTTTTTTTTATCCAGTTTTTCGGATCTCATAGCTGTGTAAATACCCTTGTCTAACAGAAAGAAGACACTAATATCTGAATTATTATACAGGATTTATATAGCGCCAGCAGTTTGCACAGCGCTTTACGTATAAAGGAGACAGTACAATTACAATACTTGAATATGAAATACTGTCACAATAATATTGGAGCAAGCCTGTTAAAAGAAAAAAAAATCACACTGAAATTTTATTTCAACTGAATGTACAATATTAACTAAAAATATGTATTCCTTGAAGTACATTTTAGTTTTGATGGTTAGTGTAGCACCAACAACCAATTGTTGGGATAATTACTTGGTTGTTGGATTGTATGGTACAGTATGTGATCATTTAAACTTTGTCAATAACATTATATTTGTATGACAAATACATGCTTTGTGTTTGTCATTTAAGTAGGTCCAATAAATTAATCTAGTCTACCCATACTTCTCACATGAAAAGCAATATATGTTTGTGATCTAGAAAAGTAAACTGCAGGTCTCCACAAAATTAAGGAGTATATGGTGTTGAGTGGGATGCTTTGTGTTTTGGAATACCTGTTTAAATTTTGAAGTTCATCTTCATTCTATTCTGTCTTCTGCGGAAGAGCCCACGATAAAACTTTCCAGTTTGTATATTTTCTAAAATTCTAAATCAGTGGTCTCCAAAATGCTGCCTGCAGGCCAGATGCAACCCTTTGCTTGCATTTATCCAACATTTGGGTAACCATTCCTCCCATTTATATAAGGCCTACTGACACCAATAATGAGGCACTATTCCTTGCACTGACACCAACAGTGGCACATAATTCCTCCCACTTCCACTGACACCAACAATGGGGCATAATTTCTCCCATTGATACCAGTGCTGGGGCACTATTCTTCCCATTGACACCAACAATGGGGCACTCCTTCAACAAATATTCCTTCTACTGACCACAGGCACTAGGTCATTTTTTTTACTCCCAATGATTAACAAGCCTGAGGCATTGTTTACTTCCACTGATGCTGGGGTATTTTGTACTACCAATGGCCACAGTTTGGCCCTCCCTAAAGTCTATACAATAAACTGGCCATTTGTTTAGAAAGTTTGGAGACCCCTGTTCTAAATAAAATCAGTGTTTATTTAACATTGCCATGTCTGATCTATGTCATCAAGTGACACCCCCCCTTCCCCATCTTCATCTTCTATAAGTGTGCTCTGCTGATAATTGAACCAGGCAATTGGGCAATTACAACACTAGTAGTAGCTGCCTTTATAGAATTTGGTGGAGACTCTGCCTGAGAATTTGCACACAATAGAACACAAGCAGCAGTGGGTGTGAATTGGCCACACACTTAAAAGCTGATAATTATGAAGATTAGATCTAGGATCTAAATTGGGTTTGTTTGTTTGTTTCAGAGGGTGAGGAAACAAGTATGATGGAGAAAAGGTGAAAATGAAGTTAATTTGCATGCAAGATGGACCTGTACCAGTCTGCACCTCTTGCTGCACATGTGCCAATATTGTAACCTGCTTTTACCACCTTAAAAAAAAAAAAAATATAAAACAAGAAAAAAGAAAGTAAACTATATTAAGTTGGAAATTAAACTGGAAATTAAACTGATCATACAAATGAGTGTGTTTAAAAATATACTCATCTACTATAATCCTTTCTTCAACAAATGTAAAAATATACTAAGCCACAAGCTGGGCATAACAGTTAAGTGCCTACTGAATTTTTGTTTTTCAATCACATTTGGTTAACTGAGGTTTAGTATAATTTTTGCATAGGCCTGTTGCTTTGTAAGCTTTTAGAGAAACATTTCTGCTGCTAGTCTTTTCTCATAGAAAGGGAAATCTGCCTGTACCTTCTCTACGGAAGCTCAGTACTATGGTAAAAGTGGTATTAAGCCGAAAACAAAAAATGTTATATTTTGCAGCGTACTAATCATTAGATGTGGTGGCTGTATTCATTTTCTTATTTTAGTCTTTTTCCCTCTGTTTGCACCTGGAGATCCAGACAGTTCCACACTTCCTGTATTAGAATGCCTACGCTCTGGATATGGCAACATTTACACATGGGAATGGGGTTTACATACCAGCAAGGGTTCCCAGCGATTAACTGTGAGAGGCAGCCCCATTAAAAGCAGTGGGAAGCTAGCAGCTCCCACAGCTAATCACAACCACTTACACACAGCCACAGTCTGCTTCATTGTGCAATCCTTTTCAGTGCTAAGGCCCTTGTGCTGCGATTGTTCAGTGTCTCTCCTGAACCCGCCAAATTTCGATCCATCTATGGCCAGCTTTACTGATCAGATCACCAGGTGAAAATAAAGGAAAGAACTGAAAAAAGAAAACTTTCTTTTTTCAGCCAGCACATCTTAGAACTGACAAGTTGCATTATAATAAATGTTTGCTTTTGGGTTTAATACCACTCTAAGGCGCCACCTCTACCTAACTGACCTCCATTATAATCTACTGGATGGATCTGACTTTTTCATTGCAAAGCTAAATCTGGATAATGAAGTCCAGTACTCCTCTCAAAGGGGAAATACTGCCTATAGTAAAGATTGCAGGACGTACCTTTTATCTTTACCTCAGGAATTGTAGTGTGTGTGTGTAAACAATTAAAGGAACACTTCTTAATCAGAGTTTAGCATCAAGTCAATTCAACTCCTGGGATATAGATCTGGTCAGTTAAGTAGCAGAGGAGGTTATTAGTTTCAGCTGCTTTTGTGTTAAGAAATTAACAGGTGCACTAGATGGGCAGCAATGAGACAACCCCCAAAACAAGAATGGTTTTTACAGGTGGAGGCCACTGGCATTTTTCTCCATAGTCATGTTTCTGACTGTTTTTCACTAGTTTTGCATTTGGCTAGGGTCAGTGTCACTACTGGTAGCATGCGGCGATACCTGGACCCTACAGACATTGCAGAAGCAGTCCAACTCCTCCAGGATAGAACATCAATACGTGCCATTGCCAGAAGGTTTGCTGTGTCTCAAGAGCGTGGAGAAAATTTCAAGGGAAAAGCAGTTACTGTAGGAGAGCTGGACAGAGCTGTAGAAGGTCCTTAACCGATCAGCAGGACTGGTATCTGCTCCTTTGTGCATGGAGGAACAGGATGAGCACTGCCAGAGCCCTACAAAATGATCTCCAGCAGGCCACTGGTGTGAATGTCTCTGACCAAACAATCAGAAACAGACTTCATGAGGGTGGCCTGAGGGCCCGACGTCCTCTAGTGGGTCCTGTGCTCACTGCCCAGCACCATAGAGCTTGATGGCATTTGCCACTGAACACCAGAATTGGCCGGTCCGCCTCTGGTGCCCTGTGCTTTTCACAAATGAGAGCAGGTTCACCCTGAGCACATGTGACAGACGTGAAAGGGTCTGGAGAAGCCATGGAGAATGTTGTGCTACCTGTAACATCATTCATCCTGGCCATTTTGGTGGTGGGTCAGTGATGGTCTGGGGAGGCATATCCATGGCCTGACACACAGACCTCTACAGGCTAGACAATGGCACCCTAACTGCTATTAGGTATCAGAATGAAATCCTTGGACCTATCAGTTCCTGGAGGATGAAGGAACTTGATACCTTTTGAATGGCCCCCACGCTCGCCTGACCTAAATCCAATAGAACACCTCTGGGATATCATGTTTCAGTCTATCCTATGCAGCCAGGTTGCACCTCAGTCTGTCCAGGAGCTCAGTGATGATCTGGTCCAGATCTGGGAGGAAAAACCCCAGGACACCATCCGTCATCTCATTAGGAGCATGCCCCGATGTTGTCAGGCATGCATACAAGCACATGGGGGCCATACAAACTACTGAGTACCATTTTGAGTTGCTGCAATGAAATTTCAGAAAAATGGACTAGCTTGCTTCATCATCTTTTCACTTTGATTTTCGGGGTATCTTTGAATTTAGTCTTCTGTAGGTTGATTATTTTCATTGTACTTTTCCCCATTGAGATCTGATGTGTTTTCAAAGTATTCCTTTAATTTTTTTGAGGTGTGTGTGTGTCTCATCATAGAATATATTATATTACTATGTATGTGTGGCTTCTAACCATGCTATACCTTTCAGGGCGGGACACAAATGTACTTGTGTACATTAAAAGAAGATTAGCAATGTGTGCAAGAAAGCTGGGCAGAACAAGGGAAGCAGTAAAGATGATGAGGGATGTAAGTGGTTTTCTTGATTTACCCTTGTAATGTCTCCTTGTTGACATACACCTGTAATCTCTGCATTGGAAGCTACTTTACATGCTGAAACATTTTTTGTTATTAGCGATGAACCTTGGGTTCAGGTTGAACATGATTTCTACCCGAACTCAGCATGTCCTCCGTTCGATGAATAAACTGTCCATATTTGCTTACTCCCATCGCAAGTGACAGATCTCTGCATGCTTCTGTGATGCTGGGTGATGTCATTCACCAAATATGGTCCGTGACATCACCCAGAATCCCTGGCCCACTTATTTACAAACAAGCTGATGGGGAAATGTCCTTTAGCAATAGGAACTTCCACTGAAAGACATCCCCTGGTTTGTTGACAAACACCATTTGGCAGTGTTTACCGCTGCTAAACGACAGATCCCTGGCCAAAAACCATTAAGTTACTTTTAAAGGGTACATTGTACTGCCCTGCAGCTTCATGTGCAGGTTTAAAGAGTAAACGTATAACTGATATGTGCCTGCTGTATCATGTACTTGTATGAAAAAGTTTCCTGCTCTCTTTGTATTGCTTCCTTTGTGTGAAATCCCTGGTTTTCCTGCCAGTCTCTCTGCTCTCCTAATAAAAACTGACTATACCAGGCATGAAAGCAAAGTAGCACAGTATGGTCAGTTCTCTAGCTGTGCTGGCAAGTTAGCCTGCTCTCCTCCAATTATCAGACACCCCCCCCCCCCCCCCCCTAGTGTACTGCTGTTTTTCCTCTCCCAGCTCTCTGTTCTCAGCTGCATCAGGAGCTTAGAGAGTATGTGATAACTTAGAAAACAGGGGAAAATGGTATTTATAATGTGGTGGTTTTTTTATATCTCTACACAAATATTTTGCCTTTTACTTTAAGGCATCCCCAAAGCATGTTATTTAAAGCCAAACTCCAGGAGTTATTTGAGAAGGTAAAAACATATTGTGGGCCAGTGTGGCTAAAACACATTCTGCATTTCCCACATCACTATGGCTGCTGGGAACTCCACAATACACCGTAGTAGCATTTGCTACTAATGTTTGAAGTGTTGTAATTCATGTTTGTTATATGCTCTCTTTCAATATTTCTTTTACATAAATCTGCTCCCCAGAGTTAAATAGACACAAATCTGAATGTGCTCTGATCATGCAAAAACTGTACATAAAGTGCTGGTGCCATGCTAATTATACCATTAGTCACTTAATTTTAATAAGCGGACATTTACCCTCTTTAGGTAATTTTTTTCTTTATTATTTTTGCATCGGATATTAGCCTCACACTTTTGGTTTCTCTCCCTAGACGAGAATGATGTCCCCTCCCCCTTCCCAGAGCCCATATGCAGCGGCGTGTCATCAAGGGGCCAGGTGCAAGAACCTGGAAAATATACCCGGCCCCCGATGATGGCATAGAAGATGGTGGTGCCGGAACTGCCATTCAGTAGTGGAGTGACAGGTTTTAGCTGACAATGCTGGATTCGCTGGGAATGTGATTATATTTTTTGAGGACAACCAGGTAATAGCTACAGGTGAAAGGAAGAGTGAAGTTCCTCTTTGAGTTCACATAGTGTTACTGCAAAGACATGTCAGTTACCAAAATGCTCCCAATGTGTGCAGAGATAAGTAAGACTGTAATTCTATTAAATCTACACAGAATAGAAAGAGAAGGAATACAGTAAGATCAACACCAGTTAAAACCAATAAAATCCCAGCACACCAAAACTCCTAGTGCAACAGAAATTTGCAGTCAGTTGCAAAACACATTCCTGCAATTTTAGGTGCTTGATGTCACAGAAAACATTTTGTAGACTTTTTTTCAGCCATGTCTAGAGCAAACTCAAATTCTAATGATTATGCTATTTTACCATATTGATTTTTTCTTCTACAAAAGATTTTTTGGTTTGCACAAGTACCATTGTTGACAGAATAGAACACAGTACACTTTTCTGAGACTGCAATGATATGCAGGGCTGGCATGGCAGAAATATACCTGTTTAACTATTGTTCAAAACTTCCTGCGTGTTGCCGTGGTCTTTTCTTTTCTCTGTCAAAGTGTGGGTGTCCATGGACATTCTATAATATATGTGGGGATTAAGAGTAGAGTATTGTAGAGTAACATGGGTTAGAAGTGAACATTGCTTTGGGTGCTGTACTTCTATTTACATGAGTGGTGTATATATGTTAGCACTATTAGGGAAAAGTATTGAAAATCATAAGCAGAGACCTAGAGAATAGGGTGCCCAACAATATTAAAAAGTATTGTACTATTTATTTTAAACTACTATTTCAGAAGTACTGTATATTGCTCAAATGGGCTGCTATATGATGGTGATATGATCTGCAAAGTAACTTTCCTGTGTACAATGTAAGCAAGCATTCATTCTAAAATATCTGGGCTCTGTTTGATTTCTTCCAGTTAATGAAGGAGTTCCCACTGCTGAGCATGTTCAATATTCATGAGAACCTATTAGAAGCTCTGCTGGAGCTCCAGGCATATGCAGATGTGCAAGCAGTTTTAGCAAAGTATGATGGTAAGTTCAATTCTTGTACTTCAATTCATTTTCCTTATCCCTAATAAATGTATGATTTTTCAGGCTTTTAATGTAAGATTTCTTGCTAGGCACCATGTTTAGAATCTTTTATGGGAACTGAACTCTGAACGATGTACCCCCCCCCCAAAAAAAGAGCAGACAAAGGGCTACTCACTAGTAGAATCCCTGCAGCTGCTTATACGTACCTTTCCATTCTGTTTTCCCAGCACAATTGCTCCTGGAAGTGAGGAGAAGTAGTGCAGCGTAAACTCCACTCTCCTTATCCTCATGTGATAGTGTTGGGTGGCTCAGTGGTCAAGCACCTGTGCTATCACATGGGAGGAAAGGGATTTACATACCTTCCCATAACAGAAAGTACTAAGTATGCAACTTTGCTTTCCCAAGCGAATGGAGCAGCGGGGGAGCTAAGGAAAGGTGGGTATAGCATCTGTGGGGTCACCAATAAATTCAGAGCTGTTGCTCTGCCCTGCATGGGTAAAGCACGTAAGAATCTGTGCCAAAATGTTAAAGCATTATACACCAATTTCATAATCCTCAGTCTCTGTCCCAGAAAACTTGCAATCCACACTGGTTCCACTTGCTGGAATCTAACTAGATAATTGTTGATTTTCTTTTTCTTTTGTGGAAAAATGCAGAGCACTGTTTAGGTACCCAAAGGAAATATCCCTTATCCAACATTTTTGGGGTCGCAAAGAATGAACAAGGCTACATGTGGCCAAAAAAATGTTGACATGCTGGCCTCAAGCACTTTCAATGATTATCTGTTTTTCTTCTGCATTTTTTGCTATTATCACATTAGTAGACTTCTCATTAAATTGTCCTAGATCTAGCACTTTTATTGCTATATTGCATTTTTATGGTCTTTATAACTACAAAATTTTTCTCCTATTGGAATAAATTGACAAGTTTGTATTTAAAATTTTGTGTTAGAAGACTTTGAACCACTGAAAGCTTGTTACTTGTTTTGTTCTGCAATTGAACTACCCTTTCCATATTAGTAGTGTCTTCTTATCTCCACAGATATCAGTTTACCAAAATCTGCCACAATATGTTACACAGCTGCACTACTCAAAGCAAGAGCAGTATCAGACAAGTGAGTACTCTCACAATGCCAGTGCTTCAACTATGACGAGCCAATATAATATCCACAAAAGGTTCTCCTCTAAGGCCCCATTCACATCTGAGCCGTAGCAGTGTTGTGCATTTTTTCACGCATTTTGTTGCGTATTTGTATGCGTGTTTGTGAACGTTTTGTGATTTGTTCTGGCATTTTTGGGGCTTTTTGAGTTCTGACGTTTTTGTATTAGCCAATAGAGAAAAATTGCAACTAAATGCGCTAAAGTGCATGAAAACACACAATTTGCACGTTTCTATGTATTTCAGTGGGAATGAAAACATGCCAAAAACACATTAGTCTACAAGAATGGAGCTGCAATAGTAGTTCCAAAACATTTTTGAGCTTCAGGCATTCTGCTTCAGGTGACTTAGAGTGGAGATGTGAACCATCTCCATAGAGGAGTAATATTTTTTTTTTTCTCCCTGAGTGTTTTGGAGCTTTGAGCTACAAAACACTCAGGTGTGAGTGGGGCCTAAAAGTGTAAAGTTTTTACATTCTTAAAATTGCAATATTGCTAGGCTGACCTTGTCCACTTTGTAGTATTGGTTTATGCACTGCTCAAAAAAATGAAAGGAACACTTTGAAAACACATCAGATCCTAATGAGGAAAAATATCATGCTGGATATCTATACTGATATGGACTGGGTAATGTGTTAGGAACATAAGGCTGCCCCATGATTTGATGGAAATGAAAATTATCAACCTACAGAGGACTGAATTCAAAGATACCCCGAAAATCAAAGTGAAAAAATGATGCAGCAGGCTAGTCCATTTTGCTGAGATTTCGTTGCAGCAACTCAAAATGGTACTCAGTAGTATGTATGGCCCCCACGTGCTTGTATGCATGCCTGACAATGTCGGGGCATGCTCCTAATGAGATGATGGATGGTGTCCTGGGGTATTTCCTCCCAGATCTGGAACAGGGCATCACTGAGCTCCTGGACAATCTGAGGTGCAACCTGGCGGCGTCGGATGGACTGAAACATGTTATCCCAGAGAGAGGAGTTCTACTGCATTTAGGTCAGGCGAGTGTGGGGGCCATTCAGTAGTATCAAGTTCCTTCATCCTCCAGGAACTGCCTGCATACTCTTGCCACATGAGGCCGGGCATTATCCTGCAGCAGGAGGAACCTAGCAGGGAATCGAGCAGTCTGTTTCTGTTTGTTTGGTCAGAGACATTCACACCAGTGGCCTGCTAGAAGTCATTTTGAAGGGCTCTGGCAGTGCTCATCCTCTTCCTCCTTGCACAAAGGAGCAGATACCAGTCCTGCTGATGGGTCAAGGACCTTCTACGGCCCTGTCCAGCTCTCCTATAGTAACTGCCTGTCTCCTGGAATCTCCTCCATGTTCTTGAGACTGTGCTGGGAGACACAGCAAACCTTTTGGCAATTGCACATATTGATGTGCCATCCTGGAGGAGTTGGACTGCCTGTGCAACCTCTGTAGGGTCCAGGTATCGCGTCATGCTGCCAATAGTGACACTGACCCTAGCCAAATGCTAAACTAGTGAAAAACAGTCAGAAAAGTTAACTAGGGAAAAAAATGTCAGTGGCTTTCACCTGTAAAACCATTCCTGTTTTGGGGGTCCTCTCATTGTTGCCCATTTAGTGGACCTGTTGTTAACTTCATTAACACCAAAGCAGCTAAAACTGATAACAACCCCCTCTGCTACTTAACTGACCAGATCAGTATCCCAGGAGTTTAATTGAGTTGATGCTATACTTTGATTAAAAAGTGGTCATTTAATTTTTGTTGAGCAGTGTAGTATCTGAATTGTATTCTGCCTAATGATCCAACCTTTTACAAGTACACTTTGGTGCTTTAACCCTGTATCAGCTTAGATAGTATATCCTCTGCAGATCCATGCACACTGCAAGTAGATGCTATCCAAGGGAATATTAGGAAGCACAGCAGTCATGTCATATTAGGATAGCAACCTTATGTGAACTGCGTTCCTTCATTTTTCCAGCATTTCTCATGTTGTGAAATGCCTGCCAGCTTACAGTTTAAATGACACATTATTTAAGAAAGTGTCAAAAGAATGGTGTACGTTTATAACTATAAGGCAGCTAGGGAAGGGGGGGGGGCATGTTTGCTGATATTCCTATTTTGCCCAGTAAGGGTAAAGTGATAATGGTTTTTTAAAGCCTCATTCCCATGGCTGTAGTGAAAAAAACAAACAAATTTACAAGCGGTTTTTATTTTTGGATTGGGAATCCATTGTACTGTTTTTATAGGAAACATTCACAGTAACGTAAACATGAATGGTGTTTGGATCCGTAATACAGAATCCAAAAATCTGCATCTGACGACATGCGTATACATTTACCATGTATTCTGGAAATTTAAAAAGGAAAAACAGGATGATATTGTGCATTTAAAACATTTCTAAATGCAAGCAAGCTGGAGATAGTCTGTAGTAAGGATACAACCTACATAGGTGATAGCCTAATTAGACTGCATGGTGTTTAATATATGCTATCTTTAAAAAATAAGTAATTTTTTTCTTTTCATTTTTTTTTGTTTTTGTCCTGTAGATCGACCAGTACCTGCAACATCTTTCCTCCCTACACAGCGACTCCAGCTTGGGAGGGCAGGGCAATGGTTCTCACAGCTTTCCCTGTGGTGTCTGCCTGCCAAGTACAGCTCTGGAGTTTGCCGTGAGGTGAGAAAGAGATTGCATGGTCTGGTTCATTTCAAGTATAGTAGAATAGATCCAGTGTCACCAGTTACATGGAGCATATGCTGGAATGGCAGAGTATAGGGGCCCTCATATATGTGAAGACTGTGTTTCAATTTTTCTATGTCCCTTTTGAAAAGATAAACAAAGTTTAGTACAGATTAAACAGCTGCCGAGGCCAGATAATCCTTGTCTGCTTTATAGTGAACAATATTAAAGCCAAAAGTTAAACACTTTGTGTGATATGTCATTTAACACCTTTTTGTTGGTCTTGTCATTTACAGATTTTCTCCAGAAGCTGCATCTCGACGAGGGTTGAGCACAGCAGAAATGAACGCTGTAGAGGCTATTCACAGAGCAGTGGAGTTTAATCCACATGTGCCAAAAGTATGTCTGCCTGGTAATTCATTATGTCTTGACAGCAGATTGTTACAATTTATATTTTGATCGAAAACGCTGGTGCTGCAAAAGGTGTTTTTACACCCCACCCTTATAGATGTATCACATTATTACCAGGGAAGATAATTTATAACGCTGTATACTATATTATAGTCCCAGTTTTCCAGTTACTAGATAACGGTATACACCAAAATAAAGATTTGATTGTGCAGCCAACTCTCCCTGGGACATTTTCCCTATGGGGAATTCTCAGTATAATTTTCACTGGGGTTGCTCAAGGTCCCATTATCATGTAGAGCGCTGTAATTTGTTTAGTTGTGCGTATTATAGGTTAGGCCTATACACACTAGAGTGTATCCTTGTATCCTGTGGTGCATCTCTGCTGCACCTGCAACTTTGGGAGTAGAACTTTGTGTAAAATATAGATAGTGTCGCAATAAAACCCTATAAAGACCGCCACCAACCAGTAGAAGGGTTATCCGCTCTGAAAAGATCCTCCAATATAAAAATCAACGATATGGTCTTCAACAATGGAAGGCAAGGTTTAGATTCATATCATTTAAAATTTGCAGGTATTAATGTCTACTTTTACTTTTCTTTCACAGTATCTTCTTGAAATGAAGAGTTTAATATTACCCCCTGAACACATTCTGAAGAGAGGGGACAGTGAAGCAATAGCATATGCTTTCTTTCACCTTCAGCACTGGAAAAGGGTAGAGGGAGCCTTAAACCTCTTACATTGTACGTGGGAAGGGAGTAAGTATTTTGCTTTTTCCTAGAACATATTGATTAGAGATTGTTGCAGCAATACTAGCATCTTCTGTCATCTGTTCTCTTTTATGTAAACACTATTGTACAGATGTCTTGTGTTATTACTAGATATACGGTATAATCTTTAACTTTGAAGAAAAATATACTTTTATTTGGTATTATTTCCTTGTGGAGCAACATTACTAGACCACTGACTGAGACACCCGCTGAACTCCATTGTTCCATAAAATGGTGCAGGATAGAATCCTTTTCCACCACTATTTGATTGTTTTATTGCTTAAAGGTATTATAAACCTTTCTGCCTGTACCGTGTGTTTTTTCACCTGCATTGTGTACATTGATGTACATTGATCTTGTAGTTTTATGATGTCATTTGTTGCTGTGTATGCACAGCATATAGTAGATTAAATCGTATTCTTTTGTCAGAGGTTTCTGACCAGTTCTAATGTGCGACGTGGGGCATGGCACTGGACAGGTTAATACATGACCTCTGTGTGAAGAAACTACATATCCCACAGTCTCTGGGTCTTTCAGTCTACTGTTCTGCAGGTGAAAGCTACATAGTAATTGAATCTGACAGATACAAGCAGACAGAGCATTGAAGGGAAAAGATGGGGTTTTCATCACATTAACCCTTTTGCTGCCAGAGCCGTTTTTGCATTTTTTGCACACGTTTAAAAAATCATTTTAGGCCTGAAGATTACACAAAACCCCAAACATATATTTTATGAAAGCAGACACATAAGAGAATAAAATAGTGGTAGTTCCAATATTTTATGTCACACGATATATTATTGCAAAGGTTTAGGAAACAAAATTTCAGTAAAAATCACACTAAAGTGAATTTTAGGGCAAAAAACCTGCAATAAATTACCCAGATTTTTGGTAACATTTTTGGTTGTGCCGAATAAATAAATAGATAACCAACATGCCAAACCTTAAATTTGTGTGCGACTTTGAAATTGTGTTAAACTTCAATATCCTATATTTTCTATAGACAACACTTCAAAAGCTCCTATAGGACATCAGTTTAGTGTTACGGAGGAGGTCTAATGCTAGAATTGTTGCTACCACTCCAGTGTGTGTGGCAATATGCAACATGTGCATTACGTTTTCACGTGTGTATTTACGTTCGTATGTGCATATATGGGGGGGGGGGGGGGGGGTGCTTGGCTATAACTTTATTTTTTACAAGGAAAAAAATAAAAAATTTTTACCTAACTTTTTTTTTTCTTCCATCACATAGGGGGCACAAAGTCCCCTATGTGATCATTTTTTTTGTGTGACAGGTTCTCTTTATTGAGACATGCAGGGTCTAAAAGACCCTGCATGTCTCCTCTTTGATCCATTAGATGTATTGCAATGAAAACCACATTGCAATACATCTTTCCCCGGCTATTCTAGCCAGGAAAATGAAAGCCATGACCTAGAATTGATGTCATGGACTATGGGCAAGCGGAGCCCGGTTACATGGTGGGAGCACGCCCGCGTGGGGCTGTGGAAGCAATCGATGGCAGCAGGGCTGCCTGACTGCTTCCGCCTGACAGGGAGGAGTCTGCTGTCAGTTTTATACACAATCCAGGTGGCTGCAGCCACTGGATTATGCATAAATACCCCAGCTGTCAGGTCCATACAGCGTACAGACCGGGCAACGAAAGGGTTAATATACCCACATTTGTGATGCAACACAAAGGAAATGGTTAGGCGTGGACTGGATGCTGCATGATGTGTAAGTTGCCTGTCCCTTTAGCGAATAAGGAAAAGTTAGGGAAATGAATATATGGAAATAGGGAAATCATTCAATTATGACACTGCAAGTTGCAGCCACAACATGTGTGCACGTCATTAAAAGGTAAGGCAAAACAAATGACACATGGAATATAATTACACTGATGCCTAGTCAAAACAATGAAAACATTTGAAAGTTGCACAATGCCTTTAAAACTGGTGAACAAATGAAACCATGTTTGGCAGGTGCAGTCAGTGAAACCGTATTGTATAAAGTTGCCACCTATATGGTCAGTGCCATCATATAGCTAGCAAGTGTTGATCACATGTCTATTGAGGTGAAGCAATGTGACCTCTAGCCTGCTTCTGCAAGTGTCATGCCAACCGGAATTCGCACAGCATAATGTGCAGCATATCAGACTATCTTCTTTTTTTTTTATTGATTTTTGAAAAGGTGAAATGTTGAACAGACTCCAGGTGAGCCAGCCTACACAGGAAGGTCACTTGTAGAAAGAACAAAAAATGTAATATATTACAGCTTACCAATCATTAGATTTGGTGGCTGCAATTGTTTTCATTTTGTAGGGATTTTTCCCTTTGTTTTCACCTGTTGATCTGGGTAATAACATAGCTCCTGTATTAGAGTGCCTAATCTCTGGATGAAGGAGCAACAGGGGCACCTTTGGACAGCAGCATTGTCAGTCTGGTGGGACTGTAGTTTTAGATGTACTAGCAGATTTAGATACATTAACAAATTGAAGCCAAACTCCAGCTAACACTTTAATTGGTTACAACAAGTTTTTTTTCCTTTTTGCAAAAAAGGTTTTATATAAATGAAAGCTGAGAATTGTAAGCACCCCTGTCAGTAGCAAATAGTTTGTCTCAATCCTCTAACTCTGTGGTGGTTAGCCTAAAAATTACATAGGGCCTTAAGTGTGGCCCCCCCACACTTCCAGAGAACGACACAACAGCAGCACCTTTCCGCACCTCAACACCCAAAAGTGTTGGTCCTACCTCATTTTTTGCAGCATAATGCAATTAACACTGAAGAAATTGGAGTACAGTAACCCCCAGCATTAGTGTCAGTGCAATAATATCTTCCAACACTGATGTCAGCAGATGCAATATGAACATTGGTGTCAGTGGACATTTTAATAATCCCCAGCACTGGTGTCAGTGGACACAATAATAACCCCCAGCAATCATGTTAGTTAGACTCCCAGCACTGGTGTCAGTACTGTTAACCCCCAATAAGCCCCTCTATTGCTGGTCATGGCAGTGAAAGTTAAAGGATAAGCACACCTTTGGCTGCAGCCGCTGCCCGATTCGCTGTGGAGCGCTGTGGTAATTCACTGAATTTTCCTGTCATTCTATGCTTTAAGGTAAAAAACCTTCTAGGTGTTGCTCCCCACACTCTGCCCACAGTAAGGCTCTTTCAGTGCTGGAACACAGAGAACATTCCAGTGCCTGACACCCTGTTGCCACTCTGCTTAGTATACAGTGTCTTAACAGTCTATGAGCTGCATGTAGAGGGCCAGCAGGCCATGTGCTGGGCACCAGGGCTCTAACTGCTACATCTGCAGAACAGCTTGTTTTGTTTTTTTTTTGTTTTTTTTGAGAACTAGGCTTTTTGGCTGGATCACCAGGTGAAAATAAAAGAAAACTAATGCAGCCATCATATCTACTGGTAAACTGCAAAATTATATATAGCAATATATGCTTCTGGGTTTATTATCACTTTAAGTCAAGGCAATAAAATAATTTGTTTATGTATGCGTTTGAACATAGGGAACAGTCTATTTAATTTAAATCATTTGTCAGTCAGTGTGTGAATCTTGAACTCAGGACGTGGCATGCATAGCATAAGAGCAATAACTTGTTCCAGAATGTTTTATTTTGTTTGGCTGAGATTCATTGTGATGCTTGCTTTAACTTCTAGTTCCACAATTTTACAACTCATCGCACAGTAGAACAAAGAACAATGATGTGCAGTAACACAAACAGTGTTGTGTAGGCAGACCAGTGAAAGATGATGGTTTGGGTTGCTATAGATTACTGCAGCTTAGCACATTGCTTCTGCTTTTCCTAAATAAATAAATGGCATGTTATTTAAACATGGAATAGCAGAGTCTGCACCAAAAATCTTTTTCAGGTGACAAGGATTTTATTTTTTAGCAAGAAATTGGAGACATTAAATGTAGTACTAAAATCCAACATTTGGTGGCAGTGCCAAATCTTTCAATGGTGAAATATAAAAAAAAATACATGCAGTAATAGAATTTAAACACTTGATGGCAGACTCATATCTTTCCAAGGCACAGCATAATGCTTCAACGGACAGAGAAACACTGCTGCTGTATTCTAGTGTCTCAAGCTGTTTTCCTGTATATTTAGTAGAGTAGAAAATCATGTTTATTATTTGTAATCCTAAGAAACCTTTATTGAGAGAACTGCGTAATTTGTTATTGCTGAAGTTCTCCTGACAGTACTATATCCTTGGTTTTCAGGCTGATCCTCTGACTTCAGCACTGTGCATCATGGTTATCGGGTGTCCTCAATTCACTTGTTGTATTAGTGTAGTTGATAAATGAGTCACCCTATACAAACAAATCCTCATGGCCTCCGGGTAACTTGCATTTTTACTAAGAGGTCAGCATATGGTGATTAGTTCAGGTGTCCTTTAAACTCTAACACCATGAAAAACTGACTTGTGTGCTTGCTGGCAAGTCAACTAATGTTCTGGTTTTTATGTCTCCTGGGGAAACCTATTTCTACATAGAAATCCTTCATGTAAACTTTAAAACACAAACATTGTTTGGCACTGCAAATTAGCAAGGAGAGCATGTGTAATGAGAAAATATAACTGTTCCCATGTACATATATAATTACAAACTATATGCAGAATTTTAAGTGACACTAAACTCTGGTTTAAAAAAAAAAAAAAAAATTATTTGATTATATATTAACTCAAAAAAGTATTTCAATCAGCCTCCTCCAAATTCCTTTTTTTTTTTTTTCACTGTGATCTGACGGCTTGTTAAAGGGTGTACTACATTCATTTTTCATGATCCCATTGTATGTAGGAGCGTAGCCACCCTCTCCTGCTCCCTCCCAAGAAAGGATTTGTAGTGTGCATAGAGAAGTGCACATGACCGCTTGTTCAAAACAAATAGAAGCAAGAGGGAAAAGGAGACGTTCAGTAACACACAAAGGATGTTTTAGAGGCAGAAAACAAAGAAACAATTTCATGAAAAATA